CACCTTGTTATCTCAGTTAATTGTACCCTTGGTCATTCGTAGCAACCTCTCCACCGACCAGCCTACCAAGCCTGGCCCCTCTCCTCATTTGTTACATTTCCTTGTTTAGTTATTTATATTCACTTGTGGGATGTGGGCGTCGCTGGCTGGGCCCAGCATTTCTTGCCCATCGCTAGTTGCCCCTTGAGAAGGTGGGGGTGAGCTGCCTTCTTGAACCGCTGCAGTCCACCTGCTGTAGGTAGACTCACAATACCCTGAGGGAGGAAATTCCAGGATTTTGACCCAGAGACAGACAGTGAAGGAATGGCAATATATTTCCAAGCCAGGATGGTGAGTGGCTTAGAGGCGAACTTACATGGGAGCACCACTCCCTGCATCTGCTCCCTATAAATTGTTGTTCCTTTTGAAAGTTGATATTCTAGAGATCCTGCCCTGACGAGGAAAAACTTCAACAACGGGCCCTCTTCTTTCCAAGGGTGCTCAAGATCTTTTAGGTTTTTTTTTCCATAAAATGTGTTGAATTTCGAGGATTTATTCTGATTCTCTGTAATACAGCCCCCTGGTAGCGCTCAGTGTCTGTTAGAGTGATCTTCAGTGTTAGCAGGAGAATGTGCAAGGTGGGAAGGCTCATGGAAAATGGCACAGCTGTTTCTGATTTCAGACGTGGAATCAATTAAAATCGTGTCAGATCCTAACTTTTGAATGTGTTCAAGGTGCCCCGAAGTCAATAGGAAAATATCTGAAGGTGGATCAATAATCTGTATCCTTCTCGATACTACTGTGCAGTATTCCGTTCAAATCACATAATGTGAAATGGGATAGACATTGTGTGTGTGTGTGTGCGCGCGCGCGCGCGCGCGCATCTATAAGATGTTTGTTGGAATAGGCTGATGAAATCCACATGCAGGTTGCCCATGTTTAACCCAACCTTGCGTGTCATTGTACAGCAAAGGGAAGTTGTTGCTTTATCATGTAATGGCCTGCAGTTTTGTATTTAATGGAAAGACAAAGTGCAGGGGAATCTCAGCAGTTTGGGGCAGCACCTGTGGGGAGAGAGGTGAAGTTAATGTTTCGCTTCTTTGGAATGTGTTCTTGTTTTGTAGGCTCTCTACGCTTCGAAGATTATCTCCTACGCCCAGGGATTCATGCTCTTGAGACAAGCAGCCAAAGAGTTTAACTGGTCTCTGAATTACGGTGGAATCGCACTGATGTGGAGAGGAGGCTGTATTATCAGGAGGTGAGAAACACCCTTTGTATGTGCATTTGTATAGTGCCTAAAGATGGTATAAGGCCCCAAGGTGCCATCAAATGAAGTTCCAGACTGGGAAGCATTAGAGATTGGAACAAGGGGAAATGAGAGCCTTGTGAGGATGATAAATTTAAGCGAGCATCATAAAAGAGTCATTTTAAAGGAGGAAATTTAAGTTGTGCAATTGTGCAAATTACCAGCTGAATGAGAAGTGTGGTTATTGTGTCGAGTATTTAATCCTTATTTATAAACCTAGAGGAAAGGGTGGAGTTTCCTTCAACATGAAATACTGGGATTGGAGGCATCATTTTTAAACTTCCAAGGGCCATGGGTTTCAAATGAAATTTGAAACTTGGGCAAGACAGTAGCTCAGTGGTTGCCTCACAGCACCAGGGACCCGGGTTCGATTCTAGCCTCCGGCGACTGTCTGTGTGGAGTTTGCATATTCTCCCCGTGTCTGTGTGGGTTTCCTCCGGGTGCTCCGGTTTCCTCCCACAGTCCAAAGATGTGCAGGTTAGAGCGGATTGGTCATGGGAAATGCAGGGTTACAGGCTGGGAGGTGGGTCTGGGTCTTTGGAGAGTTGATGTGGGCTCGATGGGCCGAATAGCCTGCTTCCACGCTGTAGCAATTCTATGAAATGCTGGCTCCTTGGGATATGCAGATTGCAATTTTTTTTTTTTTTTGAAAGCAATCTGCAGTCAATGTAACCCAAGAACTGTATCAAAAAGTTCAAGGTTTTGGGGTTTGTTTTCCACTCACTCTGTTTCTGCAGTGACTGTGCTGCTTGGTCTTTGGGGAAACTTGCTGCATTTCGATGTCACAGTTACAGGTTCCTGAGTGACCAGTTGATGCTTTCAGACAGTTCCTGCCCGCTCCTCGGCACATGGGAGGGAATATTTGTAACACTTGTGTTTTCCGTGTCTTTCCTCAGTGTCTTTCTGGGCAAAATTAAAGATGCTTTCGATGCAAATCCGGATTTGCAGAACCTGCTGCTGGACCAGTTCTTCACGAAAGCTGTTCAGAATTGCCAGGTATTCTCATACATTTCATCGGAAACATCAGGCTATGAATCCGTGATGTTTTAAACTATCAGAACCTAAAAGTGAAGCATAGGCATTCTGGTGATAACTACACAATAAATTTGCCGGTACAGGCCACTTGGCCCCTCAACCCTGCTCTGTCATTCACTGAGGTCGTGGCCAAAACTACAGGGCATAGGTTAAAGGTGAGAGGGGAAAGATTTAAAAGGGACCTAAGGAGCAACTTCTTCACACAGAGGGTGGTGTGTGTATGGAATGAGCTGCCAGAGGAAGTGGTGGAGGCTGGTACAATTACAACATTTAAAAGGCATCTGGATGGGTATATGAATAGGAAGGGTTTAGAGGAATATGGGCCAAATGCTGACAAATGGGACTCGATTTATTTAGGATATCTGGTCAGGTTGGACCAAAGGGCCTGCTTTCGTGTTGTACAGCTCTATGACTCTGAGTTTAAAAATTGGTTCAGGTTTACATGTTATGAAGATGTTCCTTTTTACTTTTAGAAAAGAAATGGGACCCTTTTTAAAGGATTGTGAAAACTAGTTCATTTTAATTCTGAGGAGGTTCCCAAACCACTGATTGTTTTAAAAAGTCACTGAAAGGATCCTCAGAGGGTTGACGGTCTTTTGTCATTCCCTGTTCCGGAGAGCAGAGAGGGGTTGGATCATTGACTGAAACTCCAGGCAGAGTTAGAAAGACCACAGATAGGAGTCATACAGCACGGAAAGAGGCTCTTCAGCCCAAATCATCCAAGACACCCAGGTTTCCTAACTAAACTAGTCCCATTTGACAGCTTTTGGACTATATCTCAAAACCTTTCCTATCCATGTACTTGTCCAAATGTCTATTAAATGTTGTAATTTTACCTGCCTCTACTACTTTCTCGGGCAGCTCGCTGCATACGCACCAACCTCAGTGTGAAAATGTTGCTCCTTAGGTCCCTTTTAAATCTTTCCCCTCTCACCTTAAACCTATGCCCTGTAGTTTTGGACTCCCCCACCCTGGGGAAAAGACCTTACCCATTTACCCTACCCATACCCATCATGATTTTATAAGCCTCTATAAGGTCACCCCTCAGCTTCCGATGCTCCAGGGAAAATAACCCCAGCCTATTCAGCCTCTCCCTATAGCTCAAACCCTCCAACCCTGGTAACATCCTTAAATCTTTTCTGAACCATTTCACGTTTCACAAAATTCTTCCTATAGCAGAGAGACCAGAACTGCACTCAGTATTCCAAAGGTGGCCTAACCAATGTCCTGCACAGCTGCAACATGACCTCCCAACTCCTATACTCAATGCACTGACCAATAAAGGCACATACCAAATGCCTTCTTCACTATCCTGGCCATCTGTGACTTCACTTTCAAGGAACTATGAAGCTGTACTCCAAGGTCTCTTTGTTCAGCAACACCCCCCAGGACCTTACCGTTAAGTGTATAAGTCCTGCCCTGATTTGCCTTTCCAAAATGCAGCTCCTCAACGTTTATCTAAATTAAACTCCATCTGCCACTCCTCGGCCCATTGGACCATCTGATCAAAATCCTGTTGTACTCTGAGGTAACCTTCGCTGTCAACTACATCTCCAATTTTGGTGTCATCTGCAAACTTACTAACCATACCTCTTATGGTCACATCCAAATCATTTATATAAATAACAAAAAGCAGTGGACCCAGCACCGATCCCTGTGGCACACCACTGGTCACAGGCCTCCAGTCTGAAAAGCAATCCTCCACCACCACCCTCTGTCTTCTACCTTTTTGAGCCAGTTTTGTATCCATTCTGTTATGAATGTGCCCTAAGAGTAAAATATGATCTGACAACAGAGAGAAAGACGGCACAGAGGCTCAGTGGTTAGCACTGTTGCCTCCGTGTCAGGGACCTGGGTTCGATTCCTCCCCCGGACAAACTGTCTATGTGGAGTTTGCACATTCTCCCTGTGTCTGCGTGGGTTTCCTCCCACAGTCCAAAAATATGCAGGTTAGGTGGATTGGCCATGAGGACTTGAAGAGTTATGGGAATAGCATGGGCAGCTGAGTCTGGGTACGATGCTCATCAGAGGGTCGGTGCAGACTCGATGGGCTGAATGGCCTCTTTCTGCACTGTAAGGATTCTGTGACCCTAAAACTTGAGTGAAGGCTTCATCAGAACTAGATGTTGACCTGAAACATTTTCCTGTCCCTGCAATTGCTGCCCATCTTGCTGAGGCATTTGAAAGAAATTAGATTTTGAAAAAGCTCTCTCTTGCTGTCTATTGTAGGCCATTGTTGGTGTACCGCTATGGTCTCCTTCCCCCGTGAGGTTTGTATCTATATTGAAGCAGATCGCTTGGCTGGACCCATTGTTTAATGAGGAAGGGTGGGACCGACTGGGCCTCTAAGCTTTCGAATTTTGTAGATCATGGGGTGATGAAGGTCCTGAGGGAGATTGATGAGATAGATGTTAAAAGCATGTTGCCCCTTGTATGAGATCAGAAGTCACACGATGCCACGTTATAGTCCAATAGTTTATTCAAAAACACAAGCTTTCGGAGCCATACTCTCCTTCAGGCACCCACACCTGACGAAGGAGCAGCGCTCTGAAACTTTGTGATTTCGAATAAACCTGTTGGACTACAACCTGGCGTCATGTGATTTCTGACCTTGTCCATCCCAGTCCTACACATCATGGCCTCTTTTCTGGGAATCTATCACTTGGCACAGTTCCAAAAACTGGGTCTCGCATTTGAGGCAGAGAAGTGAGAAGGAATGCCTTTCTATAAATTTGGTGATTGCTGGAATTCTGTCCCTCCAGAGACCAGTGGAGGTTGGGCCATTGAAAATGGAGTGGTTTTAGATTGACTCCCACATATTGGTTATGTTGGGAATAGGCAGTAAAGTGCAGTTAAAGCTACAATGTTACTGAATGGCAAGACAGCCTCAAGAGGGCAAATGACTGTTCCTGCTTCTATTTCTTCTGTTTTAATGCAAGTAATTTTAGGAGGAATAAGTTCATCCTCCTCACCCCCCACACCCCACCCAATGTATATCCAGGTCTTGCTGTGAGAAGCTGATTAACACTGAACATTCTGTTTGCAGGAATCCTGGCGTCGTGTGGTTAGCACTGGGGTACAGATGGGCATCCCTATGCCCTGTTTCAGCACTGCTTTGTCCTTCTATGATGGTTACCGACATCGGATGCTTCCAGCAAACCTGATCCAGGTACAGAAACTACCTGTAATGTAATCCTTTTATTTTACTAAAGCTCCCTGCACCTTCCCTTTTGTAATTATTACATTTCCCTAACTGCGTGGAATTGGAGCCATTGGAAAAATGGGTGATTCGATAGTGGTGGGTGATAGATGAATTTTTGGTATTGGTAGTAAAAGCAAAGTTCAGTTGTGTGTGACAGCACCTCTGGATATGAAGAGAGAAATCATTTTTTTAAATGGTGAGCTTGCACAGACTGGGGGGTTGTAGTTGTTAGAAATTGGAAGGTTGTGGGATGTATTGGTTTTTGAAGCTTAAGATATTAAGAGGATGTTGACACTTGATGCCGATGTGTTCTGCAGTCAGTTCCTTCTGTGCCCCCCGCTCCCCAAACCTTGCTGTTGGGTTTGAGGGGAGGGTGTGGTGTTTTGGAGTTGAACGCCTGCTGAAGGGGAGGAGCAGGGAGGTTGAGGATTGCATGATGCTCACTAATCTAGTTGTTTGTTTTGCCTGCAGGCACAAAGGGATTACTTTGGTGCCCACACGTACGAGCTGCTCTGCAATCCTGGCAAATTCATCCACACAAACTGGACTGGTCATGGAGGAAATGTCTCCTCGTCTTCATACAACGCATAAGCTACCAGCCATTGGCACTGAGCCATTTTGGAAAAATAACATTCCACCAGAGTAGATATTTTAAAGAAAGGCATAGTTTTGAATCTTCTAAATTGAGGCTTTCGCTGTCTTGTGCTAACGTCTGGTCGAGAAACAGTGAAACCCGTTTTCAATAAGTCCCAAATCTTTAGGCCAAATTGAAAGTTTTCGTAAATAATAAAATATGTGTAAACCGTAGCTTCTGATTTTTTAAAAAAATTAAATCATCTTGCTCCTCTATGCAGTCGTAATGCAAAGGAAATATTTTAGTTCACAGTGGTACAGGAGATGATTTAGCTTATCGTGCCAGCACTGGCTTGTTAGATCAGCATCGTTATCCTTTTCCCTCCACACTATCTATTTCTTTCCAAAGAATCGTCCAATTCCCTCTCTCTCACCTTGCTTGAATTTGCCTCCACAATATTTCCAGGCAGTACATTCGAAGCCCAGGCGAATACCAACACAGTCTTAGCAGGCCATAGGGCTGCTCTTCTGTTAGAGAGAGATGATTGCTGCCAGTTCAACCTGAGGGTCACCATGCCTCAGGTAAGGGGAGAGGTTGAGAAGGAGAGCCCTTCAGGGTAACCTCAGCCAGTGTGGGAATACGAACCCACGCTGTTGATGTCACTGCATTACAAAGCAGTTGTCCAGCCAACTGAGCTAACCGAGCTTTGGTTATGTGAAAAAGTTCCCTCTTATATCACCCTTGCTTTGTTTACACATCACTTTAAAGAAACACTGGACTGAAATAGTTTCACAAAATCCTTCCTATAGGAGGGAGACCAGAATTGCACACAACATTCCAAAAGTGGCCGAATCGTGGTCCTGCACTGCCACGACGTGACCTCCCAGCTCCCATACTGAATGCACTGACCAACAAAGGCAACCGTATCAAATGCTGCCTTCACTACCCTGTCTATCTGCAACTGCACCTGGAAGGAACCATAAACGAGCGCCCCTAGATCTCTTTGTTCAGCAACACTCCCTGGGACCTTACCGTTAAAGTGTGTATGTCCTGCGCTGATTTGTCCTACCAAAATGCAAGCCTCTCAAAGTTGGTACGTTTGCAATGGCACACTAACTTCAAGTAAGTGATGAGGGAGTTACTGCTATTCCAAAAGTGGTGGTGAAGTTAGTAATGAGCGGGTAAGGGATGGTGTGAGGCACGGTTTTTGTGTAAGTACTGTTTCATCCTCTCGTTCTGGTACTCACCACCTGCATCCTGACCAGCAGTGCAAATGTTTATTATTGACTGGGTGTAATGGCCATCTGATGCTGCTAATGGGTCCAATCAGGAAGAAACTGCAAAGAAATATGATGACTTTGAAAAGAGAGAAAATGCCAGAAACTTCAGGTTCGCAACTCTCTTGAAGTTGATGCATGAAGACTGGCCCCTGAAGTCTGAGAGCAAATCAGCCATTGGGAGAAAATGAGGAAATCCCATTTGTGTGTTCTGTTTGTGAACAATTAACTTTAAGGGAAATGATATCTTGATTGTTTACTGTGGCTATGGTAATGGGACCTCTTTAATGTGCTCCATCTGCTAATTTCTCAAAAGGAACTTGCGTCTCTTTAAAAAGCTAAAAAGTCGAGTGTTCTCAGAATGTCCTTAGCTTTCAAATAGAATTCCAGATACTCCTGAAGGATGTGCAGTGGCTGAGGTGTCGCCCTTTCTCTCTGCTTGAAAAAGTCTCTTTAAAAGATCGCTAATGATCCGTGATACAGCACATGGAACAGCACTGCTCTCTGGTGGCTGAAAGTGGAAGAGAGTGCTCCTGTTATGACCCTTCCACCAGTACAATTGGGTTCTCCCAGGCATTTTGAACAATTGTCATGTGTTTTTTCATATAGTCAATTTAAAAAAAAACTTTTAAAAAAAATTTTGGGAAGCCCTCCCTTAATCTTTACCTCTTTGACCATGCTTTCAGTCACCTACTGAAAGCGAAGTCTGAATTTCTGGGGGTTGGCAAATGCAGACAGCACTGTTGGAATGGCAAAAGCAAAGAGGTTGGCAGAAGCAAATGGGACCAGAATGTGTGGTCAGCATAGACGAGTTGGACCAAAAGGCTCTGCTTCTGTGCTGTGCGGCTCTATGATTCTATAACTGTGCGGTGGTACGCACAGCTCCCACACCAACTACGAGCAGGATGCAAGAAAGGTCCAGGCCCGAAACGTCAGCCTTCCTGCTCCTATGATGCTGCTTGGCCTGCTGTGTTCATCCAGCTCTACACCTTGTTATCTCTTATTGCAGAGACGCTGCCATGTGATTTGGACAGGCTGAGTGAGCCGGCAGATGGAGAATAATGTGGGCAAGTGTGAGGTTATCCACTTTAGTGCAAAAACAGGAATGCAGGCTGAATGGTGATTGGTTGGGAAAGGGGGAGGTGCAATAAGACCTTGGTGTCCTTATACACCAGTCATTGAAAGTCAACATGCAGAATATTGGCCTTCATATGAGAGGATTTTTTGAGCACAGGAGCAGGGATGTCTTGCTGCAATTATACAGGGCTTTGGTAAGACCACACCTAGAATGTTATCCAATTTTGATTTCCTTATCTGAGGAATGATGTTCTGTCAATACAGGGAGTGCAATAAAGGATTACTAGACTGATTCCAGAGATGGCAGTACTGACCTATGAAGAGAGACTAGATTGTTTAGGACTCTATTCACTGGAGTTTCAAAGAATGAAGGGGGAATCTCATTGAAACCTATATAAATCTAACTAGGCAGGATAAACTTGGGAAGAATGTTCCTGATGACTGGGAACTCCAGAACGAGGCGTCACAGTCTAAGGATACAGGGAAGGCCATATAGGACTGAGATGAGGTGAAATTTCTTCACCCAGGGAGTGCTGAGCCTGTGGAATTCTCTAAGAAGGAGTTAGATATAGTTCTTAGGGCTAAAGAGATCAAAGTGTATTGTGAGAAAGCAGGAACGGGGGACTGAGAGGGATGATCATACTGAATGGTGCTTGATGCTCCATCTGCAAAATTTTGGTTGACCCAAATGATGTAATTGCATCACAGGTTCTGTCTGACAATGCTTGATTATACTTATGTGAAGATTACTACCTGGGAAATAGGGGGAATTGGTTTAATCCATCTGTGTTAGTGTTAATTTGGTACAATCTGTGGTCCCAATCCCATCTGGCCACACAGTGCATTTTCTTCCCCCGAGGCACCTATAAAACCTAATCATTGATGCTGACACTCAGTTTCAGTAACTTTCTGACAGTGTTTTCTCTACCTCTCCATATTTTGTGTAAAAGAAGAACCTGTTCTTTCTCTTGCTTCTAAATCTCTTGGATTTAATCTTGTGTCCATGCCCCCTTCCCCTTCTTATAACCAGAAAGATTTATTGTCTCCTCCCAGAATCACAGAAGAAGGCCATTCTGCCCATCGTGCCTATAGTGACTCTTCCAATGAGCAGCATTACCTAGTCCTGCTTTTACTCCATATCCACGTGTACCTCAATTGGACCTGCCTCTACCACATTTCCAGACTGTGTGAAAAAGTGTTTCCTCACATCACCCTTGCTTCTTTTGCACATCATGTTAAATTTATGCCCTCTCGTTCTAATTTCTTTTATGAGCAGGAACAGTTTCTCTCTATTGACTCTGTTCAGCCCCGCTCATGATTTTGAAAACCTCTATCAAATCTCCTCTCAGTTTTCTTTTCAAGAAAAACAGTCCCAATTTCCTCACTCTATCTTCATTGCTGAAGTTTCTCATTCCTGGGACCATTCTCTAAATCACTTCTGCGCTCTCTCCAATGCATTCACATCCTTCCTATAATGTGGTGCCCATAACTGTACACAATGCTCCAGCTGGGGTCTGGGTCTCTTACACTTCTAAATCCTTCCTTCAATTCACCACATCTCCTCTGATCTAACAGAAACTGCCCCTCTCCCCCAAGTAGCCTGCTTAACTCTGCAGTAATCATACAGACTTAACACTAAGAGTAATCCTGTAAGACGCTGCTTGATACTGTGCAGAAGGAGACTGAACTAGGCAAAGAATGCAATTGATTTTATTTATGTTCAATGTACAGCAGTAATAATATTTGAGAATGCATTATACAATATGAGCAGTGTTTTATAAAGACAAGCTTCTAAAGTGTGTTAGTACTTTAAAAGAATATTGCTTATTCTGTAGAGGAAAGCTCCAGTTGCTGCAATAGCTGGATACCAACACAGTTTAAGTTACACAAATCTAAAGGACAAAATTCCTGGAGCTGCTAAGATCACAGCCTCTGTTAGATTAAATGTTGCATTTAAATTATTTTCCTGTATTTAAACCTCTGAAAATCTATAAGCACAGGACACAGCACAAACAACTTCGCAGGAAAAAATGTGAACGTGCATTGATATAACATTGCTGTGTGTGTCTCAAAAACCTGAGAGAGCTTCTCATCTATGATTTATTTGGGAGTGCAGCTACTCTTGCGAAAAGCACAGCTGTACCTGACACTTTGTGAACTAGGTTCTATAATCAGCAATCTTAATAAATAACCAGTTGTGACTTGATTAAATGGAGCAGCCAATTTACACACCGCTGATCTCTTAAGCAGTGATTGTGGCCACAATTATCGAGAAGGACGCTCAATATAGCTCTCCTTTTTGTTTGAAACTGTGAATTCTTTCACGCCCACCTAAGGAGGCAAGCATAGGCTCAGTTTATAATCATATCCAAAAAGACCCTTGTGACAGTATAGGACTCCCTCAGCACTGCACCAGCTTAGACTTTTCACTGAAGGCACTGGGGGATTTTCTAACTCCTCTTAAAATGGGATCTTTACCAATGAGCTGATTATCACCTCCAATAATTCTCATTTTAACATGTTGCAGACTCAGAATCTCAAAAATGTGAAGAGAGGTTTGTCTAGTTTAATTGGCTAATGGCTAGTTTTTTTCCATAAACCCTGTTTATTTTGAAGAGGAAGTTTTAAAATTTGTTTCTTTAACCACTGATCCCTAGGAAACCCAATAGATATGGAGTTGATGATTGAATGGCCTGCTTCTGTACTGTAGGCATTCTGTGAATTGTTTAAAAATACAACCTGAGACCAACAGATCTTTGGAGGTTTATATTCAAGTCTGGTCTGCTTTGCAAATCCACAATAAAGGAGACGTCCACCTTTCTGCCATGGATCCACATTTGGAATGGATGATTTACTTAAGGAAGATCTCTGCTAAGTTAAAATATTCTGGTGTGTGTATCTGAGATGAGTGTTCTCATTGATTTAGTTGTTTTCATGTAATCAAACACCAAAAAAAAACGCTTTGGTTCCAAACAGCCCTCAGACACATCTCCTCGCTTCCTGCTGAACAGGTTCCTCATGACAAAGACATCAACTCAATGGCCATGTGCACCTTTAAAAACCACCTCCCATTGATAATACCAACTTGTGTGTTCTGCAGGAAGCTGAGTTTGGACAGAAATGTGACACAGTCACTATTTATTGCTTTCGAAGTATTGGCTTGTTTGTGCGCTGTTTTTGTTTCCCATAGTTACAGGCTCATTATATTGCTTCTGATTCTGCTCCTCTATGGGATAATAGGTGTTTGAGTTTCTCCCGTTTTCTTGGACTGGAAATGGAATACTGTCCTCTGTACTGACTTTAGGGTCAACTGCATGAAAACAAATGAATGTTACAATTAGGTTCAATTGCACAAACAGTCAGTGTAAGTTGTCCGGTCTCTTGACCTCATTTCCCAGGTTTGGGCAACGGACTTTTCTTGGATTGGTCCAATCTTAAGGTCAAAGTGATTTTCAATTGCCTTCTGCAGTTTGGCTTACCAGGAGAATCCTACTACCTGCCACCCAGCTGGTTGGAAGGTTTACAGGTCAAGGATCAACCTGTTTAGCCACTGTACAGATACTCTTCCATTGTCAACCAGCGCCAGAGTGGGACTCAAACCTGGAGCAAAGGAGGCTACTAACTGTGCCACAAAACCTCCCCATTTATCCTATGTTACAGGGCTGTAAAATGCATTTAAAACAGCAGCACATCTTTACTACATTACCCCTTTATATAAACATCAGGGTGAATAAGCAGAGTGCAATGTATTGAAAGAAAAGGAAGACTTATCATTATATAGCACCTTTCCCAACTTCAATACGCTGTAGCAAACTTTATCACCAATGAAATACTTCTGAATTGTACTTACTGCTGTAATGTCAGAAGTACAGCAGCCAATTTGCAAGCCCCAAAAATAATATTAATTATTAATGACCAGATAATCTCTAAACTGAGCAATAAATATTGGCAAGTATATGACATTCTCTTGCTTTCTTTTGAAGTAGTGATAATGAGTGTTTGTCTACATGACAGAGAAAATGAACCCTTGGTTTAACATTTCCTTCAAACGATGACACCTCTGACCTTGACAGGCTCCTTCAATACTGAATGACAGTGCCAGTCTGGACTTCTGTCTTTAAGTCTGTGGAGTGGGATTTAAACTCGTGACATTCTGATTCAGAGGCAAGGCTGCCACCCACTGAGCCTGCAGTGATATAATGTGGAGCAGGAGGACACAGATTGTTCACAGCTCTTCCAAGCTTTCCCCTTCCAACAGGCTGGGAATGTGCTACCTACTGAGCTACAGCTGACAACATTGACAGGAGGGAAAAGGTAGAGGGGAAAACATTGCACTCACCAACAGCTGACACTGTCTCGATGTCGAGAATGTCATATTTGTATGTAGGAGCTTCAGTCATTTTGTTGCTTAGCAGTGGCATCATTGCTGTCGCAGATTTTGAATCAGAGTTAATTCCATTCACGTGTTGCTCCTCAGCTTCTGGCAAAGTTCCTGCATTTATTTCTGCTTCGTCATCGCTCCCTTTGTAAATATCACCTTTGACGCCACAGATGCAAATAAACTGTGTTTTTTCATGAAAAAAAAGTAATGGGAGCTCATTTTACAGATGCGTATTTGATAGAAATTTGTTTGTCTTTTTAACATTTCTCCATTTTTTTGAATTCGTTCATAGGATATGAGTGTCATCAGCTAAGCCAGCATTTATTGGACATCCCTAATTGCCCAGAGAGTAGTCAAGAGTCGACCACATTGACTGTGGGTCTGGAGTCAAATGAAGGCCCAGACCCACAGTTCCTTTTGCCTAAAGGACATTAGTGAACTGAATGGGCATTTCCTGACAATCAACAGTGAATTCATGGTCATCATTAGACTCATCGTTCCAGATTTTTATTTAATTAGGCACATTGAAAGAAATGTATTTGTTGTTTTAATATTTTTCCTCTTTTATTCCTCTCCCCCTTATTCTTTCTGCCATTTTGGGATTTGAATCCAGATCCCTAGAACGTTACCTGCATCTCCAAATTATTAGTTTAGTGATAATGCCACTGCGTCATCACCCAACCATCCCAATATTTTAACAAGCTGGGGTATTGGTAGATACAGAAATGTTGGTGCCCAGGGCACATGCTTGAAGTAGGCCTCAGGTCTTTTGCAAAGCCAGGTGCCTGAAGCCTTGGAGCTCCAATGACCTCTAGAATTGAGCTGCAGTCAAGGATACCAGGTCAACTTGCAGCCTCAAAGGCAGATCAATGAAGGGGGCAGGTCACAATCAAACAAGTGAGTTAAAGTCCACAGGTGCCACATATCTGAGAGTGACAGGGCGCAGATTTAAAGTTATTTGCAAAAGGAGCATATGTAACGTGTGAGAAAAGAATCTCCACACAGCAAGTGATTAGAGTCTGAAGTGGGGAGTGGTTAGCTCAGTTGGGTGGCTGTTTTGCAGTACAGATTGATGCCAACAGCATGAGCACAATTCCCATGTTGACTGAGGTTACCGTGAAGGACATTCCTTCTCAACCTCTCCCCTCACCCATGGCATGGTGCCCCTCAGGTTAAACCACCACCAGTCTCTAATGACAGAGCAGCCCCATGGTCTGGTAGATTTAGGGTGACTCTGCCGCAGGTACTGAGTGCACTGCCTGGATGTGTGACCAAGGCATTCAAACAGGGCTATCATCTCAAGAGAAACAATTCAGAGGGGTTACAAAGGCACTAAATCACAATGCTCATTCGGAGAGCTGGTGTGGATACAATGGACTGAATGGCCTCCTTCTGCACCATAACAATTCCATGAACTTTTGTTCTTCTTCAGCCTGTTCCACAATGAAGACTGTGGAGTAAGCCAAGTAATCATGACATAAGTAGAACTTTTAGAGAAAGAGCTTGCAATGGGGGACTGTTGGAGAAATAGTTCTCTGTTTTAGACTCTAATATACATACATTGTGTTAACAAAGAATTGGAATTACTCTTTCAAGACTATGTCTGAATTATTTCTTCCCTTTTGGTCTATATGTTATATGAGTGGGCAGCAAGATGGCATTGGAAGTACAATGTGAAAAGTCTAAGGTTGTGTGCTTTGGTTATAAGACAAGAAAAGTAGAATAATAATTCTTTACAAGTCTTGAAACTTGTAAATATTGCAGTATAGACAGATTTTCGATCAATAATGGAATCAAGGGTTATGGAGAAAAAGGCAGGAAAGTGGAGTTGAGAATGATCAGATCAACCATTATCTCATTGAATGTTGAAGCAGACTCAATGGGCTGAATGCTCTACTATTCCTATGTCTTATGGTCTTATTACTGATAGAGTACATCCTATAAGGACAGTAAACCCGTTGTACAGCCCAGGGGACAGGAACAAACAGACCTTAGAGCGAAGTCAGAGCTGTATACTGTAACAAACGCCATCCAAACCAAAGACATTTCTATTGAAATAGTTTTAAACTTGCAACCCAATTCACCATTGGTTAATGAAAAATCTGTAAATGGAATGGCAATTCAGAGAACAAGCAACGTTTGTAAAACAGACTTACCTTCAGCTTCACCAGCATTCCAATTCCTAGAAGAGAGAGAGAGAGAGAGACAGAGAGACAAATCAGGTTAGCAAGGCAGTAATGAATCTGGAATACACATTTAGAATATGGTCCTGTTGCAACGCTTCCTTGCATTTCCAAGTTTATATTTTTACATTTGATTCTACATTTAAACAAGCTTACTTCACGCTGCTGCAAATTCACAGCTGTTTACAAACATGTTGGCAAACAGTAAGTGATTGGGCCATTTGGTACAGAAACTCAATTGAATTTTTCTAATAATTTTAAGTATGCACCAAATGGTTCATTCACATAGATTGACTCCTGTAATAACAGCAAAATATTACGGATGCCAAAATTCTGAAATGAATGAGAAAATGCTGGAGAAAGTCAGCAGGTCCAGCAGCATCTGTGGAGACAGAAACAGAGTTAATGCTGTGTTTTCAAATTGACTGGTGATTTGGCCATGCTATATTGCCCCACAGCGTCCAGAGACGTGCAGGCTAGGTGGGTTAGCCATGGGAAATGCAGTGCATATGGGGCTAGGGTAGGGGCTGGGTCTGGGTGGGATGCTGTTTGGAGGGTCGGTGTAGGCTCGATGGGCTGAATGGCCTCCTTCCACACTTTAGGGATTCGATGTTTCTATCCAGGCTCAAAATGTTAACTCTGTTTCTCTCTCCACAGATACTGCCTGACCTGAACTGACGCCTGGCTTGAAGCTCCCTCTTATAATCTTTACAGCAATTGGATCACACTTAAGTTTGAGAAAAGCTTCTGTTTGGTGTTACCACCAATCATTGAGGCCAACTATTCCTCAAGCCAATCACAAATGTCTAAGCATCCCATTGAGCCATCAAGCTGATCAATTTCAAAAACAAAATCAGAAATTGCTGGAAAGACTCAGCAGGTCTGACAGCATCTGTGGAGAGAAAGCACAGCTAACATTTCTGGTCCAATGACCCTTATAATAGAATCCCTACAGTGCAGATAGAGGCCATTCAGCCCATCAAGTCTGCATCGACCCTCTGAAGAGCATCCCACCCCCGCCCTTTCCCTGTAACCTCACATTGACCATCTCATGGCTAATCCACCTAACCTACACATCCCTGGACACTATGGAGCAATTTAGCATGGCTTCTTCGGAAGTGATCAATTTACCTAACGGATTGTGCAACTCAGCACAAAATCAATTCACGCCAGGTTTCATCATCAGCCGGAAAATAATTCTGTTTATTGTAAACAAATTTACTCTTTAACAAATGGCAGAGAAAAAGAAAGGATTACTAATCTACAATCATGCACTTTAACGATACCCCTTTAAACCCTGAAGCCACACACTTTCATTCACAAATAAAACAGATAAAAGGCAGATAGTTTGACTTAGATATTATGAGTGGAAAAATGTTTCAGTCCTATGACACTCAGCTCTCATGCAAGGAAATGCTGCCTCTCTCATCTACATTTGGATCAATGAACTGTCACCCAAACCTTCAATCCATTACCTTGCTTCTTTGATACCTTGCACAGTGATGATCTCACTGTTATGATGACACAAAGAATGGCCAAAGAAATCAGAATCCAAACCATGAAAGAAGTTAAAGAGTTTCCTGGAACAAGAGGAAATCTTGGTTTGTAAAAATGTTCTGAAAATTTCAATAATTGTGTTAACATTTTCCCCAACTTCCGCTGACTTGCTGAAATGGTAAACCTTCAGAATTCTCTTTGCAAGAAAACTGAGGATGTTCAGTCACTGAGTATGCTCAAGGCAGAAATCGAGAACTTTCTAGATATCAGTGATGTTATTGATAGACTATTAATCCAGAGACCCAGCTAATGTGCTGAGGGCTTGGGTTTGAATCCTGCCATGCCAGATGGTGGAATTTACATTTAATAAAAATCTGGAATTAAATGCCTAACGATGACCATGAAAGCATTTTTAATTGTTGGGAAAAACCCATCCGATTCACTGATGTCCTTTAGGGAAGGAAACTGCTGTCTTTACTTGGTCTGGTCTACATGTGACTCCAGACCCACAGCAATGTGTTTGACACTTAACTGCCCTCTGTGCAATTAGGGATGGGCAATAAATGCCGCCTGGCCAGCGACGACTTCATCATGTGAATGAATTTAAAGAAAAGGGTACAGAGACAGTGCGGGGAAAATGGTGTTGAAGTAAAGGCTCAGCCATGATTTTTTAGAGGGGCAGAACAGGCTCAAGGGGCTGAATGGCCTACACTTGTTCCCATGTTCATTCATCCTCCTAACTGTCTACATTTTTAAAACTTCCCTGAGTCTAGTTCCTTTTGCTAATAATGGGTTTATCTATGAAAGAAGCTGGAGTTTGCAGGGACTCCTAACATTTCCTTGTGTCCGCTCTTTATCCTCTTACAGACCTCCAGAGGTGAATGGCATTGAATTCCACTTATAAGTCCACAGTAACAACCTGTTTCTGTGTGTAGTGCCATCAACATGCTATAACATCCCAAGGCACTTCACTGGAGCATCAACAAATGGAATGAGACATGGAGACACATGGAGGGTCACAAATTGATGAAAGAAGTATTAGAATCATAGAATCCCTACAATGTGGAAGCAGGCCATTTTTGTTTTCTTTATTCATTCACAGGATGAGAGTGTTGCTGACTAGGCAGTATTTATCACCCATCCTTAATTGCCCAGGGGGCAGTTAAGAGTCAACCGTATTGCTGTGGGTCTGGAGTCACATGTAGGCCAGACCAGGTAAGGTTGGCAGTTTCCTTCACTAAAGGACATTAGTGAACCAGATGGGTTTTTTCGACAATGGACAATGGATTCACGGTCATCATCAGATTCTTAATTCCAGATATTTTATTGAATTCAAATTCCACCATCTGCCATTACGGGATTTGAACCCGGGTCCCCAGAACATTACCTGGGTCTCTGGATTAACAGTCCAACGATAATACCACTAGGCCATTGTCTCCACCCTGCCCCATCAAATCTGCACAACCCTCCAAAGTGCATTCCAACCAGACCTACCCCTCTACCCTATCCCTGTAACCCTGCATTTCCCATGGCTAATCCACCAGGCCTGCACATCCCTGGTCACTATGGGGCAATTTAGCATAGGTCATGTGGAGCATCTTGAAGAGATAAACAGAGAAACATAGAAAACAGAAGATAGGAGCAGGAGGAGGCTATTCGGCCCTTCAAGCCTGCTCCACCATTCCTCATGATCATGGCTGATCGTCCAACTCAATAACCCAATCCTGCTTTCTCCCCATAACCTTTGATCCCATTCGCCCTAAGTGCTATATCTAGTCATTTCTTGAATACATTCAATGTTTTGGCATCAACTACTTCCTGTGGTAATGAATTCCATAGAATCACCACTCTTTGGGTGAAGAAATGTCTCCTCATCCCTGTCCTAAATGGTCTACCCTGAATTCTCATCCTGTGACCTCTGGTTCTGGACACACCCACCATTGGGAACGTTCCCCCTGCATCTCCCCTGTCCAGTCCTGCTGGAATTTTATAAGTCTCTATGAGATTCCCCCTCATTTGTCTGAACTCCAGCGAAAAAGAGGCAGTGGGGTTTCATTGGGAATTCCAGAGTTTCAACATTCAGCAGCTGAAGGTTCAGGTACCAATGACAGAGTGATTAAAGTTTGTGACTTACAAGGAGGGGAGCAGTGATCAGGAAGACTGATCTAGAAATGGTCACACAGGGATTGTGTGGTGCAATGGTAGTGATCTTACCACTGAGACAAGAGGCCTGGGTTCAAGTCTCATCTCCTACAGTGGTGTGCCTGAATAGGGTAACTAGAAAGTATCTTTAAAAACATAGAAAGCAGAGGTGAAAACATTAAGAAATTTGTAAAGAAGGATGTGAATTTTATCTGGCAGACAATGTAGGTCGTCAATCATGGGAGTGATGGGTTTTGTTGCGAATTCATGGATCAGTTTTGCTAGTTGCAACATCTCAGACACTTCCATGTTAACGAGTCAACTTCAGCTCAGCATCTACTTCCATTTAAAAGGCAAACAGGGCCTCAGTTTAACCCAAAACCCTCTTAGAATTCCAGAATTTTCCACCCTGAGAGTCATAAAGCCATACAGCACAGAAACAGACCTTTCGGTCCTACCAGCCCATGCTGAACATAATCCCAAACTAAACTATAGTTCCACCTGCCTGATCCTCTCTCCAAACCTTTCCTATTCATGTACTTATTCAAATGGTTTTTAAATGCGGTAGTTGTACTTTCATCCACCACTTCCTCAGGAAGTTCATTCCACACGCAAACTACCCACTGTATAAAAAATTTGTATAAATATCTCTCCTCTCACCCTAAAAAAATCCCCTATTCTAGAGAAAAGACAACCACCATTAACTCTATCTATTCCCCTCATGATTTTATAAACTTCTATCAGGTTACCTCTCAACCTCCTACGCTCCAGTGAAAGAAATCCCAGCCTATCCAGCCTTTCTTTGTAACTCAAACATTCCATACCTGGCAACATCCTGATAAATCTCTTCTGAACCCTCTCCAGCTTGATAATATCCTTCCTATAACTGGGCAACCAGAAGTGGGCACAGTATTCTAGAAGAGGCCTCACCAATGTGCTGTACAACTTCAATGTAACTTCCCAACTCCCATACTCAAAGGACTGAGTAATGAAGGCAAACGTGCCAAACATCTTTTTGACCATCCTGTATATATGTGACACAAATTGTTCAGCATCTCTGCCTTGCTTAGGAATTAATGATGTTATAAACACTGGAGGTCGGGTTAGTTCAAAATGAAATTCTATTCTGCACAGGTTAGTAATTAAACATGGTAAAAGCGTAAAAATTACGTATGAAACCTACTTTTTTTCCACGGTTCAATGTTCGGTAGGAGAGGTGGATCGGTACAATAGTTATCAACTGTGCTGTTACCTTCAATGTAGACAGTCATCCCCAACAGTGTGCAACTGTTAAAAAAAAGACATTTGATTGATAAGTTTATTTTTCCCAGTGACTGTACATTCCGCAAGTTTATTACTAAATGAAGAAATTTCATCCAGTCATTTGTGATCGAAAGATATCATTTATATACATCTTCATTAATCGTAAGTCCAAAAGAGATAGGAACATTCTGCCCCGCAAGCCTGTTCTGCCATTCAATAGAATCATGGCTGATCTGACACTCCTCACACCTAGTTTCCTGTGTTTTCCCCATAGCTCTTGATTCCCTGACTGACCAAGAATCTCTCTATCTCAGCCTTAAGTATACACAAGGACCTTGCCCCCACAGCTCTCTTGTGCAAAACTCTCAACCCTCTGAGAGAAGAAATTCCCCCTCATCTCAGTCTTAAATTGGCCCCCCTCTCAGCATTTACCCTGTCAAGCCTCTTAAGAATCCTGTATGTTTCAATGAAATCACCTCTCATTATTCTAAACTCCAGTGAGTAATGTCCCAAACTGTTTAACCTTTTGCTCATAAGACATTGCCTCCATACTGGAGATCATCCTAGTGAACCTTTCTGAAACCCCTCCAAGGAAGTAATATCTTTTCTTGGATATGGGGACCAAAAACTGCTCACAGTACTAGTAGTGGGAATGCGAGTTGCAGGGATGTCCTTAGGAGGCAATAGCCCTGAAATGAATTTGTTGCACTTGAGTCAAAAACTGTTTTGCAGAAGTTGGAAATCTGTTGTGAGAAATGAAAGTACTGGGAAGTGTCAGCAAGCAATGGTAGAGTAAACATTTAGCTATGTTATCATCTGAACTTTGCAAAAGCATGAAGTTGAACCATCAGACCCTTCAATGAGTGTTTTTGATGCTGCTGCATATAGCCACCCTGAATTTTCTGAAAAAAATTGCACTTTAACCCACAGATTGCAGCCTCATTGCAAATAAAACAGATCTTGTAAATCTTATCTCTCATTTCCTCAGCAATGCACATTCAGGCATCCCAGGCAATTGCCCTTCAGCTGCAAAAATTTCAGCAATTAAATGATAAGACAGATAGGAACTAGCAACAAAGTGACCCAATTCTCAAACAGGTCCTTGCATCATGGGTAACTCACTTCCATTCCGTTAATGTATGGTGATATAAATATTTCCAAACGAAGCCTGGCATATTCAACATTTTCAACTTGTTCATAGAACCTAGAATCCCTACAGTGTGGAAGCAAGCCATTCGACCCATTGAGTCCACACTGACCCTCTGAACAGCATCCCACCCAGACCCACACCCTTACACCATAACCTTGCATTTTCCCACAGCTAACCCACCTAGCCTGCACATCTCTGAACACTATGGGCAATTTAGCATGGCCAATCCACCTAACCTGCACATCTTTGGACTGCGTGAGGAAACCAACACAGACACAGGGAGAACATGCAAACTCCACGCAGTTGCCTGAGGCTGGAATCAAACCTGGGTCCCTGGCACTGTGAGGCAGCAGTGCTAATCACTGTGCCACCATACATGTGTTCCTGAGGCTTCATGAATGCCTTTAACTGCACAGTGAATGCTGCAATCTCAGATATTTCTGTAGAGAGCAACTGCATGTGTGGAACCTTCTGTGGATAGGATGCAAACTGAAGCTTGAGAATTTAATGGTGTTTTTATTCAAGCATTTCAGATAACCAATGAAAGCCACAAAGGCTTTGGGCATTTAAACTGTCTCAGTTTCTGTAAAATAAGTTCTGCCTTGATCTCCAATGATAGCACCAGTCAGTGGTTTTCGTTAAATCACTCCCGAAACCACTGAATTGATACAAGGCAGAGTCAGATGGATTTTCGATAGACAAGGGACTCGAGGGTTATGGGGCACAGATAAGAAATGAGTGACAAGACCACAATTAGATCAACCATAATCATACTGAACTATGGAGCAGATTCGAAGGGCTGAATGGCTCACACCTGGTCCTAGTTCTGCATTTTCACATTCCTGATCTATGTTCCGACAACTCAGTCTGACACTGCAATATTATTCACTCGTGTCAGTCTGTTCTCCAGTAACCATATTTGTCTGGGTGAATGAGTACTTGTTGGTGCCTAGTGTCAGTGATACCGTAATCTTTGCTGAGCTTCCGACTTATTTTCAATTTTTGGGGGATCCTGATTGCACAGCTCCAAGCTCACCATTTCACAGAATCATACAGTAGAGAAGAAAGCCATTTGGACCACTGTGACTTTGCCAGCACTTCAATAAGAGCTGTTCAATTCGGCCAACTCCCTCTGCTCTTTTCCTACTGCCTTGTAAATTGTTCTTAAATATAGATCCAGTTTCCTTTCAAAGTGTGTATTGGATCTGTTCCTGGCTCCCTGCAGACTTGTCTCGAAGCACAGTTCTAATATTTAATCAAATCCTTATGTAAATATCACCACGTGAATACTCACTAATTAGCACATTACACTACGTTGGCACTGAGGTCTGCATTCCCAGCTGGGAATTCAGATTCCAGCTCCTCCTGAAAAGTGGTGTGTAGCTGAAGTGAACAGAAAACAGGAGCAGGAGTAGATCATTCGGCCCTTCAAGCCTGTTTCGCCTTTCAATATGATCATGGCTGATCACCCAGCTCAGTTCCCAGTTCCTGTTTTCTCCCTGAACCCTTTGATCCCTCTAGGAACGAAACACATATCTTCACGTTAAGAAATTGTGACCAGTTTTGATGTCTCAAGCTTGAAAGCAGATGTAACTCTGACAATGAGTCAAGGCCAAACCTCAAACCTATTCATAATCACATTCTTAATGCTTGAAACTGCAAGGGGAGACTTCCTTCCCCTTTGTCCAAAAGGGATTGTACTCAGTTTCACTCTTTTTGAGAATGACTCCTCTTTCAGACTGTATTTCAGACATCAAAAAGATGTAACAAAGACTCTCCAATATCTTCAATGTTATGTTGTTCATAATACCAGTGCTTGGTATAAGTGTAAAGTTTCTGTTGAATTTGTTTTAAGATTATTTTGTTATTTGTTTCCGTTTAATAGATTATTGTTCCCATCACCTTTGGTTTCTGTTGTCAATTTCAAGAACTTCCATAAACTCCTCTTCCCTATAGGTGAAAAGATACATAGACATGACCACATATCCCTGACTTCTCTTCCTTGCTCCAGAAAATTAGGAAGAGCAGGCTTCTGCTTCAATGCAGCAAGGTGGGAAAGAAATGAGGCGAACTCAGGAAATACTGCTTGGATGTTAACTGGGCTGAAACTTTTAAAGAGAAAGAATGAGGGGCAGTAAATGTACATTACAATTCTAAAGCGGTTGCAGAAGCAGAAGGGAGTATGGACTATTGTAGCATTCAGTTCTTCAGCGTTTGATTATGCGCATCTGTTTGATTATGACGCTGTTTGTGCTTGATTTGTTAAGCCTGGGTGTGGACTCAGAGAAAAGTAAACAAGCTGTACATGGGGCTGAAGCATGGAGTAGATACTTAAAGCATTGTGAATAAAACCTGTTAAACACATAGAAAACGGAGTCATCTCTGCATAGCTCCAAGATATAAAAGATACAACAAAAATATGTGAAGATATTATTGAAGGTGGGAGGATAGACTGAGCAGGTGGTGAATAAAACATGTGGGATCTTGGATTGTGTTGACAGAGTACAACATCAAGGAAGTTGTGTTAAACCTGTCTGAAACACTAGCTCAGCATCAACTAGAGTACTGCATCCAGTTCCGGGTACAGGGGGTCCCTGATTTACCAATGTCCAACTTATAAACATTCATACTTAATGAATGTGATCCCATGCAGGGGTGGAATTTTAAAGATCCAACATACAAACATTTCCTGCACTTACAGACAGCTGTTTTATATCACCCTGAATTGTCTTCCAACTCGTGTACAAATCAACTTGTGAACAGACTCCAGAATGGAACCTATTCAAAACTCTGGGACTTCATGTATTGGACTTTAAAAAGGATGTAAAGGCATTGAAGGGAATGCAGCAAAGATTCACAAGAATGGTCCGAGGGATGGAGAACTTAAGTGGAGATAGATTGGAGAAGCTGGGACATTCTTTTCTAAGAAGAGAAAGCAGAATGGAGATTTGATGGAGATATTGAAAATGATGAATTCTGGATGGAGTACGGAGAGAAATCGCTGCCTTTGGAAGGGTGGGGATCCAAAGGACACAGGTTTAAGGTGATTAGCAAATGATCCAAAACGAACATTAGAAACAAAATTTTTTACACAGCAAGTGGTTAGGATCTGGAATTCACAGCTCAAAAGGCAGGTTCATTTCTCACTTTCAAAAGGGAATTTGCTCATAATCTGAAAAAAAAGCTGCAGCGATTCTGAGGGAAGGTAGGGCCATGGCACAAGATGCATTACACCTGCAGAGAGCTAGGGGCAGCACGGTGGCTCAGTAGTCAGCACTGCTGCCTCACAGCACCAGGGACCCAGGTTCAATTTCAGCTTTAGGTGACTGTCTGTGCAAAGTTTGCACATTCTCCCCGTGTCTGCGTGGGTTTCCTGCAGGTACTCTGGTTTGCTTCCGCGGTCCACAGATGTGCAGGTTAGGTGGATTAGCCATGCTAAATTGCCCGTAGTGTTCAGGGATGGGTAGATTAGGGGGGATGGGTCTGGGTGGGATGCTGTGAGGCTTGGTGTGGACTTGTTGGACCAAAGGGCCTGTTTTCACACTGTAGGGATTCTGTGAGAGTGGACAGTTTGAATGTGCTTCTTCTGTGTTGTACTCTTCTACAATCATACGTTGTATCAGCTTCTGTCTGCTTTCATGGAAAAGACAAAATTATTTCTAGATTGCAGGATGTCAGAGCTGGCAGATGGGAGGTTTGGGTGTTGTGTTCAATGGTAGAGGAGTACTACTGACAGGGTGGGGGTGGGCTTTGGTTGCTGGATTCCACAATGAGAGGGGAGGTGGGTTGACAGGTCCTAGAAGTGGGGGGAGGGGGTTTGGATTCACGTTGCATGGGGAGTCGGGCCAGCGTGGTGAGGGGGAGGGATTGTCAGGGCCCCAAGGCGTAAAGGTGTTGGGGGACAAGTAGCTGGGTGTGTGTGCCGTAATATAGGTTTCAGTTTCAATCTTACTCAGGAGTTAGACTGGGTTTTTAACTACCTAACTCTTCCTGGGTAATCATTAACAGAAACTTTCATTCCCCTCCTCTCATGAACATACTAACTCGAGCTGAATTATGTTTCCAGACCTCCTGAACCTCATCCAATTGTGATGTTTCCTGTAGTAACTCTGCACAGGACGCTGAGATCTTGTTCATCCACAGAAAGCCCACACTGTCCTCAGCCAATACCCAGGTTAACTCTGTTCCCTCTGCAGCTGGAAACTGGTCTACCTTTGCCCCATTCTGAACCTGAGCCATGGTGATCTCCACACCCTCATGGTCAATTTTGCAGTACCTTAACCACAAAGGCATCATTTATAAGCTCAAAATAGTTCACTAAGTGAAAATATTCTAGAAAAAAATATATTCACAGGATTTCAATTTTATTTATTCATAGGATGTGGGCATTTAGAGTCATCGCTGTACTGCACAGAAACAGACCCTTCGGTCTAACTTGTCCATGCTGACCAGATATCCTAAATGAATCTAGATCCATTTATCGGCATTTGGCCTATATCCCTCTAAATGCTTCCTTTCAGGTACCCATCCAGATGCCTTTTAAATGTTGTAATTGTACCAGCCTCCACCACTTCCTCTGGCAGCTCATTCCATACACACACCACCCTCTGTGTGAAAATGTTGGCCCTTAGGTGCCTTTTAAAACTTTCTCCTCTCACCTTAAACCTATGACCTCTACTTTTGGACTCCCTCATCCTAGGAAAAAGACCTTGTCTATTCACCCTATTCATGCCCCTCATGATTTTATAAACCTCTATAAGGTCACCCGTCAAATTCCAATGCTCGAAGGAAAATAGCCCCAGCCTATTCAGCCTCTCCCTATAGCTCAAACCCTCCAACCCTGGCAACATCCTTGTAAATCTTTTCTGCACCCTTTCTAGTTTAACAACATTTTTCCTATAACAGGGAGACCAGAATTGAATGCAATATTCTAAAACCATTGGCCTAATCAATGTCCTGTACAGCCACAACAAGACCTCTCAACTCCTACACTCAATGCACTGACCAATAAAGGCAAGTGTACCAAACACCTTCTTCACTACCCTGCCTACCTGCAACTCCAATTACTGCCCATTGCTAACCAACCTTGTGAAGGTGTTGCTGAGCTGTCTTTTTGAGCTGCTACCAGTCATCACATTGCTTTTGATGCAGCTAAGTGTCTAATTAAACCATTTCAGAGAGCAATTAATAGTTCAACACATTGCTGTAGGTCTGGAGTCACGTACGAGTCTGACTGGGTAAAGATACCTGATCCCCTGCCCAAAATACATTGGTGAACCAAGACCGGTTCATGGTCATCATTACCTCCATTAAATATTTATTTAATTAATTGAACTTAAATTTCTCAACTATCAAAGTTGGGTTTAAACTTGTGTTACCAGTGCTGTAATATAGTCACCATTCAACCAGTTCACGTGATATTTAATTTTTAATAGGTCCATCTGTGGAATACCATGTCAAAGGGTCAAATATGCCAAGAATTGTTGTGATTCACAGCTAGATTGATTAATTAAAACTCAGATCAAAAAATATTCTCCATATATACTGTTAAAAATATAAGTGATTCCTGAGCAGGGGGTCGGAAGGGGATACTTACTTGGTGTGAGGCTGACATTTCAGTCTTTGTGTGTTATTCCGAAAGCTTCCTGGAGGACAGGGCTTACAAATCGCCTTCTGGTAGTGTTGCTTATCTTAACAAAAAAAAGACAGAGTTGAATGATAAACCAGAAACTCTATAACTTTACTAAAATATATGCACCCCAGGCATACCATCCACTCGAAGGGCAATGTCACATAAGCAAGGTCCACAGCCTCAATTGCTGATTTTTATACACAGCATGAAATGACGGGGAATATGTTTGCATCAGAAAGACAAGAATTTCTGTGCAAAAGACATTACAATAAAAGGGCAAAAAGTAAAGAGAGTGAGAAAACAACAATATAGAGAAGAAGGCTAGATAACTTTTACACTAACTTGGGAATATAAGAAATGGATGTGCAGAAGTGGAATTTTCATTTTAGAAGGAGAAAGATCATAAGATAAAGAATTGGTTAAGCTGGTTAAAAACTCTCAGATTTGAATGGCTCCCTGCTAAAGTCCTCATTACCATTTACTGTTTGGTCGCTGACTGGCAATGATAAAATCATTAACCTTTCATAGAACAACAGGAAAATCTATCATTATTAATGAATATAAAAAATGGAGTGAGGTGAAAATTACCTAAAGGAAGATTTTTCCCATCTCCGCATACTGCACAGTAATAACCAAGGGGGCATTGGCATTTCTTGTCATTTTTAGTGATGCAGGAAACATTTCCTGTGTCAAGAAAATTTTTTAAAAAGATTAACAAACAACATTGAACCTTATGCTATTCCATATTCTTCTTTTGTAGCCAGACTTATAGTTGATTTTAAGTAAGATTTGCACTTATCTGGCATCCCAAAGTACTTTACAGTGAAATACTTTTGAAGTTTAGTCATCAATTCATGTGGGAAACATTGCAGTTATAGAATCATAGAATCTCTACAAAGCAGGCCATTTGGCCCATCGGTCCACACCAGCCCTCTGAACAGTATCCCACCCAAACCCAGCCATAACCCTATCCCTATAACCCTTTGGGATATTTAGCATTTCTAATCCACCCTAACATGCACATATTTGGACTGTGGGAGGAAACCCACACAGACATGGGGAGAGTGTGCAAACCCTACACAGTCACCCAAGGGTGGAATTGAATCTGGGTCCTGACAATGTGAGGCAGCAGCGCTAACCATTGCTAACCAGGTCACCCCATTGGCAAGCACCAAGCATTTGCAAACCACATTGACCTAAACAGCTAGATTATTTGTTCTAGTTGCCATTTAAGGAATAGGGCAATGGGAGAATTCTCTTTCTCTGTCTCAGATGTGGGATCTGTTACAAGGTGGACGTAGCCTCAGCTTGCCATCTCATCTGAAAGGTGGCACCTCCAACACTACAACACTCCCTAAGTACTGCACAGGAGTATCAGCCTAGGTTATGTCCCCAAGTCTATGGAGTGGGACTTAAACCAACATTCCTTCAGCATCAGGGTTGAAGGTCAGTGAACCTCAGTCCACAAGTGGAGCACAATGTATGATGCTATAATTGATGCTACATTGGAAGGTGCCTTTATCAGCTAGACTACAAACAAAGCCCAATTAAACTTCCGTTCCATTCAATATTTCATCACAAAAGTGACTCTTAAATTTCTTGTTTACAAATAAAAGGAAGACAGAAATAAAAAAAAGGCAGCAATCCCATACCAGAGACTTCAATAATTTTTTCCCCATCTCATCCTGCTAAACCTGTCCACTTAGTCAGGAACAAAGTGAATATAGGAATGATAGAGGACAAAATTAAAATCTAACAAACACAATGTTAAAATCTGATTCACAAAAACTGTACGTTTGATGCTTACCTCCTCTTGTGGATAGCAATTCAACACAGTAGTTGTCAGCTGTGCTATTACCTTTAGTGTGAAGGATTTTTCCCAAGGCTGTACAACTGTATAAGATATTTGTCAGTTAGCCAATTCTTACAAGGTACTGAAATATTTTATAGCCTTTCATTTTGCAAAGGTGTCCAACTTAATATGTAAACTATATTTTGTATCAGTCCTAGGATTTTAGCCCATGGAATAATGGAGATCTAGTAACAATTCAAAGAGTAATTTATACCCAAATTCCTGCCATACCAGGTGCCCTTTGGATCATAACATCAAGGAGAACTGCAAAGGCCAGTGCAGGCTGTGCAGTGAACACTGGAACTGCAGTGGATCATTCAAACCAGGTTTGCCATTGAATTAGACCAAGACTTGACTGTGCCTTGTTTCCTCTGGGTGAAGGACTAGTTTTTGCTCTTACTGCACTGTTAATTTTCCGATGATTCCCCTTTGCTCTTGGTTTCCCTCCACCCCACCAATCATTGCTGTCTATTTATCCCACTCCCTTATCATTTGAACCATTCCAACTAGATCACCCCTTACATCTTTGAAATTCAAGGCGATACAGCTTAGTATCTGTAGCCTGGCCTTATCATTTAACCTTTATGTCCATGTTGATTCTGGTTAATCTACACTGAATTCCCAGTAAAGCCAAACTATCCTTCCTGGGGTGCAGTATCTGTTTAAACACAGTACTTCAGATAGACCCAGCCAGCCAGAGTGTTATTTAATTATAACATGCTATCCATTAACTTGTCTTCAAACCCACTTTAAATAATGGTCTGCACCCTGTCAGCCTTTTAAATTACTTTTTTGATCCTGTCCACTGACTTTTTGAGATGCTTGTTTGCAGAAACGTGGTTTCAGTTATCTTTTTTAGGCCTGAGTTGGATGATCTCACACTTCCTCACATTAAACTGGTAACTGATGACATTAGTGTGACATAAATAGAACAGTCTGAACTGGAGGGAAGCAACACTCTGAACCTGGAGAGACCTGGTTCCAACCAGGAGTGTAGTCATGAATCCAGTGTGAATAAAGAGCTGGAGTTACTTCAGCATATTGCATAACCAGATTACTGACAGAGGAAGGAGACAAAGTTTCACAAGAGAGCATCGAGAAACCAAGCCAGAGATAAATGACTGAGCGAACAAAGGCAGTTAACATCCTTCCGTTTTCACTCCAACCTCAAACCATGAACGTAATCTGCCACAGATTTGTCTATTCACTTTATCTATCACTTTGTCTGTTTGTAACTTTCTTCTCCCATCGATACTATTTACCAGCATACCTCAGCAAACCTGTATATATAACTCATTTATGAGACTCAAGGACAAGTTTATATCAATCCTCAAAACTCTAGATCCATGCTCTCGCACGTCTAAATCCACGCTAATTTCAATAGTTTCCAAGAGTTAATCAGATGCACCAAACATCAACAATAATCACAGTCAACTGAGTTTTAAGGAGCTTTTGACGATAAAGGCTCCATATTGAAAATATTTTTCATTAACTGTCAAGGAAATAAAACACTCAGTTTAACAGAATGACTTACTTGGTGTGAGGCTGACATTTCAGTTTCTGTGTGGTATTCAGAAAAGTCCCTGGAGGACAAGGTTGGCATGTCCGTTTATAATAATCTTCTTTATCTAAGCAGTATTGAATGATAAACAAGATGTTTTGTACCTTCGAACAAGAATAATATGTTGACAACCCTTCTTTCCATCCACCCTCATCTCACTGCCCGGCTCCCACTTTGCCTTGCCCCTTTTCCCCCTCCCCTATGTCCTCCTAAGCCCCTCCACTCCACTCTAGTGTGGGTCAATGCAGACACCATGCACCCTGTCCATTCAGTCCCATCAAAGCATCTCCATCCTCCCACTGCAGACTGCACCCTTCCCTGGTTATGTGCAAATACCAATTTGTAGAAATTGGTATTTCCCAATGCCTGAAGGGTGGAGTCACACTTTGAGAAAAAGTGTTTGTTTGTCTCTCTGACGATAAAAAGGTGGACTTGATTGTGTTTGATCCTTTGTAATTACAGCATTTCATCCCTTTGCAAAATAATGTGTCACATATGTCCCTCAAGAAGTCACCTTCCACACTAACACCATTGATTCGCTAAAATTATTGGGTTAAATCCTTTCCTTCCTTTTGGCTAACTGTCAGTTTTGTCAAATTTCATTGAGGGCTCCTCTCTACGAGGCCTGGCAAGATTTCTCGCTGTATCTTACCAGAGGTCTCCTCATTAACTACAGACCCCATCCCTCTGCCGCCCCCTCCTCTGACTCTGCCCCATTCTATGATTCAGCCTACCCAGAGCCACTCACTCCTGCTGGGATATCCCAGAATGGACCAGACACTGGCACCATTTTTAAAATCCCGTTGTGCACCCAGACAATCGCAGTCAGTCCTGAGCACGGTGCCTGACATTTGCCCCGGTCATGGCAGACAGCGGGAGGTGATCACCCCCGCTTTGTGGGCAGGGAACTGGAGGCCCTGCTGGACAGGACTTCCTCTTCCCCCAAGGGCCAGGAGAGGACGCCATGACACCACACCCTGCCCGGCCTGGTCTCAGGCTGTCACCCGGGTCAAAGCTGTCGTGGCGTCAGGAGGAGAGCCTGGCGCTGTAGGAAAAAGGTCAATGACCTTCTCCCCTCCACCGATACTCAACCTCACTCTCTCTCTGTCACTGCACCCACCTCCCACGAAGGCTCATGCTCTACCACTCTCAGTATCGCCTGGAGCACTATCCAACCCCACCCCTCAGTCTCACCCACCCTCCACTAACCCTGTATACACTCGGTGCTGCCCACTCACTCACTTGGGACACCTCCCCACCTACACCAAGCAGCAACAAACAATAATTCCCTTTAATAGACAATTCGCTACTACTTCATGAGAATCTTGCCTTAATGTTGGGAAAGATTAAAAGATGCAGTGAGATGTTCTGACATTGAGAAAGCCTACCCAGGACTTCTCCTAGAATTCTGACACATTTCGGTCAGAACTCAGCCCCATCTCGGTCAGGCCACTGTAAGATTCTGACCAGTGTTTCTGTTATGAGAGCACTATTCATTGAAATTGATTTTATCATCACAGGATGCTTTTTATAGCTTGCACAACAAAACTGATAAGATCATTAATTTAACGACCAACACGGACTGCAAAGTTGTACACTTCAAGTTACATTTATTTGACATTTTAGTTAACACCCTCAATTAAAAAGTTTTCACGGAAGGGTTTATTTTTATTCTTTTGTGGGGTGTGGAGAAGGTGGTGGTGAGCTGCCTTCTTGTACTGCTGCAGCCTTTTTGGTGTAGGTGGGCCCACAATGCGGTTTGAGGGGGAATTCCAGGATTTTGACGCAGTAACACTGAAAGAATGGTGATAGATTTCCAAGTCAGCATGGTGAGTGGCTTGAAGGGAACTTGCCATATATCTGCTGCCCTTGTCCTACTAAATGGAAGCGGTCGTGGGTTTGGGAGGTGCTGCCTGAGGATCTTTGGTGAATTTCTGCAGTGCATTTTGTAGATGATACACACTGCTGCTACTGAGCATCGGTGGTGGAGGGAGTGGATGGTGTGGATGTAGTGCCAATCAAGTGAGCTGCTTTGTCCTGGATGGTATCAAGCTTCTCGAGTGTTGATGGAGCTGAACCCATCCAGGTAAGTGTGGAGTATTGCATCACACTCCTGATTTGTGCCTTGCAGATGGTGGACAGGCTTTGAGGAGTCAGGAGGTGAGTTACTACCCGCTGTATTCCCAGCCTCTGATCTGCTCTCGTAGCCACTGTATTTATACGGCTAGTCCAGGTCAATTTCTGTGAGGAGTCTTGGACCTCACACAATATTAACTCCATAGTTAGCCCAGAAACATGAGCCCAGGTCTCCTGGTAGCAGCAGCTACAATCAGGACAAGAGGAGAAAGAACATTCAGGACGTTGGTCCATACCTGATAGCATTGGCTTCTTATCACCACACACCTTACAATGTTCACACTTAGCTGGGTCATCAGTAATACAGTAATAATGGGAATCACATTCGCATTTGCGATTTGTTGTAGGACTGCACTGAACGGTCTCGATACTGTTACCTGTGAAGACAAAGTAAAATAGCGTTTGCACGAGCAGCGATTAACATGGATAAAAATCTAATATCTAACTGTCGCCAGAAACACCAAAATGATTACATTTCAGGAAGGACAATGTGGAGTTCTGGCCATAAGTCCAAGCTATGAAGGCTTTAACCCTGCATTCCCCATGGTTAATCCACCTAACCTGCATGTCTTGGACTGTGGGAGGAACTGGAGCACCTGGAGGAAACCCACACGGACACAGGGAGAATGTGCAAACTCCACACAGACAGTCACCCAAGTCTGGAACCGAACCCAAATTCCTGGCGCTGTGAGGCAGCAGTGCTAACCACTGAGCTACCGTGCTATCTGTTAGGAATAGGACAAGGCTCTGCAACTTTTCCAACCCTACTTTGCCCACAAATTAGATCATGATTGATTTGCACTTCTTCTCTATTTTCATGTCTTTTTGATGTTATTTTGGAAATTCTAATATTATTGGCCTCCAGATGAAATATTGCACCTTTCCTTCACTGATCTCCTCATGATTTCTGTTTTCTCATAAGTTCATGATCGATGGACGAGGACTGGGGATTTGTGGGGTGGGGGGGAGAGGAAATCCTCCGCCTGGAAGTTTCCCTCCAAAAACACCAAAATATCCCTGTTTTCCAAGAAACAATCTAATTTACTTGTAAACAAATTTGCTTTAACTTTGCTTGAATCAATGTAGTATAGGTATTGATCTTCTGTACTGGCACAGCTTAGCTGTAGGAGAGTTTAGCATGCTAATATTTGAATGAAGGCTTCCCTCAAAAAATGCAACATAGATGTCAACGCATGGGAGAGTCTCATTCAGAAGAAACTGAATTAGAAAAAGCTCCTGTATGAAGAGAGACCATTCTTTGAGAACACACATTGGCAAGAGGAAGCACAGAAAAGGAACCAGAGAAAGGAACACCGGTGATCTGGAGGCCAAAGACCAATTCCACCTCCCAGAAACACCTGCAGAAATGTAGCTCTAGAATCAGCTACACAGGGGCATCAGAACCCAGGACCACTGACGTGGAATTTCCCCGGTGGACAATCAGAATTGTTCATGAGTGATTGCCGGAAACGAGCATTTGAATAAACTACATGCAACTGGAAGAAGATGTGAAGCTGAAGGATTACTGAAGGATTCAAGGAGGTACTTTAACATTTACCTGTACAAGGTCCATAACACTTGCGACATTCTTTCAGGGAATTCTCTTTCTCAGTGTATGTTCCTTCCTCGCAGGGAGCACATTGTATCTGGCTCTTGCTTGAATATGATGATGATGAAACCTTGTATTTACCTTTCACCAGTGGAAGACATAAATATTTCATCATTATGCGTAACCAATGTACAGTGAAATACCTGAAATATTTTGCCTAATCTTTAGGCACACTGATGACAATCAGTTTACAATGAGGTGCTTTAAAACATTGGTTCATCCATTTTGGTTTCTGTTGCGCTGGGGATGAGTTGGTTAGATTTGCCTCAGCTGGTGTAGTCATTCTTGTGGGTTAGGCTGCCTGGACGTTTCAGGGATTTAGTAGAAATCCTACAGTGTGGAAACAGGCCCTTCAGCCCAACAAGTCCATACCAACCCTCAGATATCCCACCCATCCCCCTATAACCCACCTAGTCTACACATCCCTGAACACTACAGGCAGTTTAGCACGGCCAATCCACCTAGCCTGCACATCTTTGGACTGTGGGAGGAAACCGGAGCACCCAGAGGAAACTCACGCAGACAATGGGCAAACTCCACACAGACAGTCACCCGAGGGTGGAATCGAACCCAGGTCCCTGGCGCTGTGAGGCAGTAATGCTAACCACTCAGCCACCATGCTGCAATTTTTGTTGAGCCATACTTTTGAATTCATAGTTCCAAGAAAATATGTTGGTCACAACAGATTGCTAGATTTTACACTCAACATGAGGAACTTTTGAACTCATGCTACAGTTTTCAATATTGAATAATGGTATTTCAACACCTCAAACATGTAGATTTGAAGTAGACTTGGAGTTCTACCCAGTACTTCCCCTTCAGCTACATTGTCACCGTCCTGTGTGCTACATCAAGCTCACTGTCTTATCCATTTTCTGACACTTTGGAATCCTCACTCTTTTATTTAGAGCTGTGCTTGTGACCAACATCCCCTGCCACATGGTGCACCCTGTGTACATTCAGGGAAGCATTGTGTTTAAACCCATAGCCGAGGGATAGGCTGTGTACAATAAATGACTGACAACCAGGTCATCAGGGCCAGAGAATTAGAAGTGCACTTGGCTGGAATGGTTCTATGATGAAAGTCGTGTAAAGGTCATCTGACCAAGTTTACTGCCAAAACAATTTCCATCAAAATTCTCCCTCCAACTATTTACAATCTGACCATGCAGAACAGCAGGTCACGGTGGCCATATTTAATGGCAATGCCCTCTAACTCTTGCATTGGGAATACATTCCATCGATTTAAGACACAATAACAGGTCTCAGTATTAGATTTCTCTCGTGCAGGCTGTTGTATCTTTACAGTTTTAGCACTATGTGACTGCTAATGTCAGTGTAACATGATCATGTTGCTAACTTAGGCAGTTTCATGGATGGTTATTTTAACCAAACTATCTGGTAAGCCACAATGTACTTTGGGGACTGGTGGGAATTGAACCCAGACCTTCTGGCTCAAAGATAGGGACACTGCCAAGGTGCTGCAAGATCCCTATCAGTTTTGTTATATAATACATGAGTGGTCAAGATTCTGGGAGCAAGCTGTTCTGTTTGAGTCATGCTGGGATATTACTTCATACCTGCTAGAATGATTAACTGTTTTAACTCAGTCTAGAGGGACTTAAACTTACAACCTTCTAACCAAACTGGCACTGATAGAATATTAAGACTGGAGAAACACATTTTCCATATTGTTCATCTCCAGACATTCTTAAAGGAGGAAATAAATCAATTGTGCTAGCATGCAAACTAAAAACAATGTGGTGATGATTCAGAGATTATTTAAGGGGAGATGTGAGGACCATTATCACTGCCACAAGTTTAGCTTTGGTTGAGCACTGAAAATTAAACCCACATCACACAAGACACTGTGATAAACTATGGTGTTTAGTTTACTGTGAAAATAGCCAATTTGGTTTATTTATATGTCTACTCAAAATAATTAAAGGTTGGACAAGCTAAGTGAAGATCTGAAGCTACCTAGAATGGGGACAGGCCATTGAACCCAAATGTTCCACGTTGGAGTTGTGTTCCAAACAAGCTTTGTTCAGTGGAAAACCCCAAGACTGTTCTGCTGGTAGTGAATTAAATAGGCTCAAACCCAGACCATATCCTGAGACTTAATGACCTGTTCAATGACTGGCATCCTTACAAAGAGAAGAAATTTGCATTTATATAGAGCTTACATGACCACTGGTTGTCCCAAATCTCCTTATAGCCAATGAGTTACCTTTCGAAGTGTAACCGCTGTTGTAATATAGGAATGACAGCAGTCAATTTGCAAACAGCAATGTGGAAGTTACCAGACAATCTGTTTGTGTGGGATATTGATTGAGGGTTAAGTATTGCATGGGAAAATGAAAGAACTCCCCCACTCTTTACATAATATTATGGAATCTTTTACATCTTATCAAAGCCCTATGCAAAAGACAGCAAACCCAACAGTGCAGCACTCCCTCAACACTGCACTGAAGCAGCAGTCTCAATGACCTGATAAAATTTCTGAGGCGTGCTTTGAATCTATGACCTTGTGACACACTCTCAGTGGTGCAGCCATTACACCCAGCCATGCTGTGAAGATAACATGCAGTGAATACACCGTCCCCAGATCAAGGCCAAGTTACAGCAACCCAATGTTTCCATAGACTTCCCCCTTATCTTTACCTTTGGTTTCTGATGTAAACCACCCTCCCCAAAAGCATCTGTTATATCATCAACTACTAAATGCAAAACAGCAGGAGTAAGAAAGCATAATAAAACCCATAATAATTTAACCAGTAGTTTCAGAATGAAATGGTGCTTTTACCTGGAGGACATTTTTGCTGAGAAACCTGAAAAATATCAAGAAAATATCACAAGTTACAACTACAGACTGTGAATGAAATGGAAGATAAAATATCAATACTTCCTTCAAGTGATTGTTAAAGCAATAATCAAAACATAGGAACATAGGAACAAAGGAACAGGAGTAGGCCATTCAGCCCCTTGAGCCTGTTCCACCATTCAGTGAGATCATGTCTGATCTGTGGCCTACCTGCCTCTGCCCCTTCTCCTTTAAAACCTTTGCTTAATGAAAATTTCTCTGTCTCAGATTTCAAATTAACAACTGATCCAGCATTCACTGCCATTTGTGGAAGAGAGTTCCAAACCTCTACCACCCTTTGCATGTAGAAGTGCTTCCTAACATCCCTCTTGAATGGTCTGGCCCTAATTCTCAGATGATGCCCCTTAGTTATAGAATCCCCACCCAGTGAAAATAGATTATCCTTACCTACCCTGTCTTTTCCTGTTAATATCTTGAAGACTTCGATCAGACCATAAGTCCATAAGACATAGGAGCAGAATTAGGCCATTCGACCCATCAAGTCTGCTCCGCCATTTGATCATGGCTGATCACTCCTTAACCTTCTAAATCTGGAGAAAATGGGCCTAATCTGTGTAATCGCTCCTCATAACTTAACCCCTGAAGCCCAGGTATCATTCTTGTAAATCTACGTTGTACTCCGTCCATTATTCAATTTATTCTTCCCAAAATGTGGGGTCCTGATCTGCTCACAGTACTCCAAATGGAGTCTAACCTGAATGTTCTCTAAGTAAAAGATTACTGTTTGTTATTTCTGGAACATTCCCTAGATGATAAAGGCTGGGAGGAGGACTGTTTAGTGTATGGGGAGGTAATCAGCTCTAAGGAGGGAGTAAAGATGTATAGGCACCTGGAGACCTTTCCCTTGTCCTGGACACAGAGACATCATCAACTGCCCATTCACTTTAGATTACACAACACAAACAATACAGCAACAGGCCATTCTACCCAACCAGTCCACGCAATTGCTTATGTTCCAATCTTGGGTTTCCTCCCATCTTCAAATCAATCAATATGACCCTCTATTTCTCTCCTTCCTCCTCAGTTTGTCTAGCTTCCCCTTAAATATAACGATACCACTCTCATCAAACACTCCCTGTGCGAGCAGGTTTAACATTCTCACCACTCTCTGGGTGAAAGCATTTCTTCTGAATTCTCTATTGGGTCCCTATGTTATATGGACACCCTCAAGGTATACTCTTCCCCACCTGAGGAAAGATTCTTTCTGAGTCCACTTGATCAAAATCCTTACTTCTGTGAGGTCATCCTGAGTCTTCTTTTTCCAAGAGGAAACAGCCCCTGCCTGCCAATCCTTTCCTGATGTGGCTACCCACACATTTTTGGTCACGTCCTTGTAAATTTGCTCTTAATAACATTGCGCTGAGATCTAGTGTGAGGTAACCACGGTTCGAAACAGATTTAGCATAACGTTCCTCTGTTTCAATTTAACCCCACTGGAGATAAAGCCTAGTGTTTGGTTTGCTTTGATGGATAGTTTGCTAACCCGTGGAGTTGGCAATTGTACTTATGCACGAATCATCAGTTCGAAAATCTACTGCTCCTCATGTGTGGAAATGGGTCCCAACCATAAACCTTTCAGTCAATCAGTGTTACTGAGCTTAGTCCCAGCAGCAGAACTCACTGCATTAAGAGTTCTGCTTGACAACAATCAACCCACACATTGTTAGCTGTTAGACATTACAATAGTTTAGTAAACATCTGCTTGTCAGCACCAGAGGGCACTGCAGTATGCTGCTATTAAAACGTTTTAGGTTTTAACTTTATGGAAACAGAGAGAAAATAAAATCCTTATTAACTTGATTTGCCAATGAATGAGCAGTTGTCCATAAAATCTGGCACCTCACCACATAAATCAAACACTTAGCCTCTCTCTTGCAGGGAAGATTGTGCAAGGTTAGAAGATCTCGTTTTTCTTACTCTCCCAAGGATTTTATAAAGCACTCTGCAGCAATGAACTTTTACTCACTCTTCAAACTGAATGATTGGAACGGACAGAAATCTGTGTCACATAACAACGTGTGGGAGCAGAATCTGAAACCAGCTTTTCGCCATGGCAGATGTAAAACTCTCACACATCCTTTCAAATTGCAAGCTGCAGGTAAAGGTCAGGGTCCCGATTTACACTGAGTATGAGGATGGCACAGAGAAACAATGGAAATAGGAGCAGCAGTATCGGCTATCTGGCCATTCAATCAACTAAAGCCACGGCTGATTGATCTCAACTGTGTTTTCCTTACACTGCCCCCACCTCCATATCCCTTGATATCTTTAATTTCAAGAAATCTGTTGGTCTCTGACTTGAATATACTCAAGGACGGGACCACCACAGTCTTCTGGGATAGAGAATTCCAAAGCGTATCCAGAAAGATAAACTGAAAAAATGCGAATGACTAAATGATGCTAAATTTAAGTTTTAAGAGTTTCACTTTTCCGACGTCAGAGAGATAAGAGTTAAGGAATAGCTTAAAGTAGAAGGATATGACAGGGAATTGTGGGGATTGATTTGGACCCAGGCAGCTGAAGGCATTTGCCAAAGATGGAATGGAAGGACCTGGAGATGAATGAATGAATGAATGTATCAGTCAAATTAGAGGAACTTAGGAGGTCTTAGGAGTCAGAGGAGCTTACAAGATAAACAGAGGGGTGGAGCCACAGAGGGAACTGAACATCAGGATGAGAATTTGGAAAATCTAAATTTTTCAAAGTAAATGTGTTCTGTTGTGCCTGAGGGACCATTCAGGAGTCACAACCAACAGGGTTACCTTGACGCCCATATGGCACTTATACAGATCTGCCAGCGATTTTCCACCAGTTTCTGGATCAGTGATCCCCACCTATCACCTCACTGGGTATGTATGGAGTTCCTTTTTATATTCTTTCACGGGAAGAGGATATCACTGCCCAACCCTAATTGTCCTTGAGATATACCTGGTGATGAGCTGCCTACCTGAACTGCTGCAATAAAAGCAAAATACGGCAGATTTTGCAAATCTGAAATAAAAACAGAATGTGCTGGAGAAAGTCAGCAGGTCTAGTGGCATCTATGGAAAGAGAAGCAGAGTTAACGTTTTGAGTCCAGTATGACTCTTCTTCAGAACTGTGGAGGAAGGACATGTGACAGGGAAAGTGAGTTTTGGCAAACATCGGGATGAAGAAAGAAAGCAATGAAGGCGAACATGTCTTAGAGTCATGGAGTCATACAGTACGGAAACAGACCCTTCAGTCCAACCAGTCTATGCCAACCATAATCCCAAACTAAACTAGGCCCACCTGCTTGCGCTTGGCACATATCCCTCCAAACCTTTCTCATTTATGTACTTATGTAAATGTCTTTTAGACATTGTAACTATCCGCATCCAACACTTCCTCTGGAATTTCATTCCACAGACAAATCACTCTCTGTGTAAAAAAGTTGCCCCCAGGTCCTTTTTAAATCTTTCTCTCTAACCTTAAAAATATACCCCCTAGCCTTGAAATCCCCCACCTTAGAGAAAAGACACCTGCCATTCACGTTATCTACACCCCTCATGATTTTATAAACATCTCTAAGGTCACCCCTCAACCTCCTGCACTCGAAAGTTTAAAACGTTAAATCCCTTCAGAGAGAAGAACAGGACATTTTTAAAGTGGGCATGCCTGGAAGAGAAGTGGCAGTGAATTAAATACTCAAATAAAAGCAAAATACTGTGGGTGCTGGAAATCTGAAATGAAAACCAAGTGTTGGAGATACTCTTGGAGAAAGATTACTGGCGATACTGTAGATAGCTTGAGACCACAAGCATGGGGAAAGACAAGTAGGTAGCTAGGCCTCCAGAAGTTGTCACTGTTAGTTCAGGAATCGAACCTATGCCCAGTACCATCATACATTATCCATCCAGCCAACTGAGCTAGCCATAATATACATAGCTTTATAGTTTAGTAATTCTGGAAGACCACTGTAATTGTGCAAGGCAGTAGTGGTATAGCAGTCATGTCACTGAGCGAGCAGATAGGAATAGGAGTAGGCCATTTGAGCCTGCTCCACCATTCACTAAATTCATGGCTGATCTGTGGCCTAACTCCATTTGCCTGCCTTGGCCCCATAACCCTTGAAACGCTTGTTTAATAAAAATGTGTCTATCTCAGATTTAAATTTAACAACTGAATTAGCAACAACTGCTATTTGAAGAAGAAATTTCAAAACCTCCAATATACTTTGTGTGTAGCAATGCTTTCTGACATCTCTCCTGAATGGCCTGGCCCTACTTCTTAGACAATGCCCCCGGTTCTAGAATCTTCAACCAGTGGGAAATATTTTATCTTTATCTACCCTGTCTTTCCTTGTTAATATAGAGTCATGGAGGCATAGAGTAATACAACATGGAAACAGGACCTTCGGCCCAAAATGGTCCATGCTGACCATGATGTCCGCTCAGCTAGTTCCAATTGCCTGCATTTGATCCATATCCCTCTAAACCTTTCCCATCCATGTACCTACCCAAATGTTTTTTAAATGTTGCTATTGTACCTGCCTCAACCACTTTCTCCAGCACTCCATTCCATATACGCACCCACTCTCTGTGTGTGAAGAAGTTGCCCCTCAGGTCCTTCTTAAATCTTTTCCCTCTCACCTTAAACCTATGCCCTCTAGTTTTCAATTTCCCTTCCCTGGGAAAAGGGCTATATGCATTCATCCTATCTATGCCCGTCATGATTTTATACACCTCAATAAGGTCTCCCCTCATTCTCCTACGTTCCAATGAATAAAGTCCTATCCTGGCCAACCTCTCCCTGTAACTCAAACCTACTATTCCTGGCAACATCCTTGTAAATCTTCTTTGCACATTTTCCAAATTAACTGTGTCTTTCCTATAACAGGGTGACCAAAACTGTACACAATACTCTAAGCGCAACCTCACCAACATCTTATACAACCGTCACATAAGTTCCCAACTCCTACACTAAATGCCTCGACCAATGAAGGCCAGCATGCTAAATGCCTTCCTCACCACCCTGTCTGCCTGTGACGCTGCTTTCAACGAACTATGTATTTGTACTCCTAGGTCCCTCTGTTCCACAACACTTCTCAGGACCTTACCATTTACTGCATAAGTCCTACCTTGGTTTGATTTTCCAAAAGGCAACACATCACACTTATCTGTATTCAATTACATTTGCCAATCCTGAGCCCACTTTCCCATCTGATCAAGATCCCTCTGTAATTTTTGATAACCTTCCTCGCTATCAATGATACCTCCTAAATTTGTGTCATCTACAAACTTACTAATCATGCTTTGTACATTCACATCCAGATCATTTGTCTCAATAACAAATAACAAAGGTCCCAGCACCAACCCCTGTGGCACACCACTAGTCACAGGCCTCCAGTCTAAGAAACAACCTTCAACCGTCACCATCTGCTTCCTACCATCGAGGAATTTTGAATCCAATTAGCTGGCTCTCCCTGGATCCCATGCAACCTGACCTTCATGACTAGCCTGTCATGCAGGACGTTGTCAAAGGCCTTACTAAAGTCCATATAGACAACATTCACGGCCCTATCTTCATCTATCATCTTGGCTACTTCTTTGAAAAACTCTAAAAGATTTGTCAGACATGACTTCCTGTGCACAAATCCATGCTGACTATCCCTAATCAGACCTTGACTATCCAAATGTTGGTTGATCCTGTCCCTCAGTATCTTCTCCAATAGCTTGCCTACCATTGACATCAGGCTCACTGGCCTGTAGTTCCCTGGTTTGTCTTTGCTACCTTTCTTAAATGATTGATCAACATTAGCCACCCTCCAGTCTTCTGGAACTTCACCTGTGGCTATATCCTGAAGATCTTGACTGGATTGCCCCTTAACCACCTAAATTCTAGGCAATAAAGGCCTAATTTCTCTAATCTTTCCTCATTAGGTAACCCTTGAAGTCCAGGTACCATCCTTGTAAACCTGTGTTGAACTCCCTTGAGGGCCAAAACATCCTTCCTAAGGTGTGGTGCCCAGATTGGAAATCTGCCATTCTTACATGGTAAGGCCTACATATGACTCCAGACCCACAGCAATGTGGCTGAGTCTTAACTGTTCTTGGGGAGTTAGGGTGGGCAATAAAGCTTGACCAATGACACTCTTATCCAATGAATGAATAAAAGTATCCCAAGTAATTGGGGTGGTACAGTGGCTTAGTGGTTATCACTGCTACCTTACAGTGCCAGGGACCCAGGTTCAATTCCACCCTCAGGTGCCTGTCTGTGTGGGGTTTGTACGTTCTCCCCATTCTGTGTGGGTTTCTGTTGGATGCTCTGGTTTCCTCCCACAGAGTCCAAAGATGTGCAGATTGGGTGAATTGACCATGCTAAATTCCCCATAATGTCCAGGGATGTGCAGGCTAGGTGGGTTAGCCATGGGAAATGCAGAGTTACAGAGATAGGATAAGGAGCTGTGTCTAGGTGAGGTGTTCTTCTGTGGGTTGGTACATACCCGATGGGTCAAATAACCTCTTTACATTCTGTAGGGATTCTGACTGTCATCTCCAGAGACTCATTTGAAAACTGTTCTTGAATATCCAAACAGGAAATGTTACTCTTTCTGTGGCAGACCTCCTCGCAATATCTTGCATAACTTGCTTCAACCCTTTGTGGGGACAGTGTGTGTCTATTAATGCTACAGTCACTCCCTGCCACTGCCCCTCAATCATTCCCTTTTCCAATCATCTGAAGGAGCTGGGAGATTTTCCACAACTGCTCCTACACCCACCGTCTGTTTGTGCTCCTTTGTGAACTGTGAATACCCAGCTGAAAATCCAGCCTTCTAACTGGACTCACCGAATTGCAAGTATTTGTGATGATTCCAGGCTGTATAACCTGTGACAATGCTGCCCTCAGAAGGTATGAAGTCCTCTGAGGAATCATCAACATGTGTGCCCACAAGTTGTAATTTAAGCCCTTGAAGACAAATGGAAAGGATGTGACTCATAGAGTCATAGAGTTGTGCAGCACAGAAACAGATCCTTTGATCCAACTCGTCCATGCCGACCAGATGGCCTAAATTAATCTAGTCGCATTTGCCAGTAATTGGCCCATATCCCTCTAAACCCTTCTTATTCATGTACCCACCCAGATACCTTTTAAATGTTGTAATTGTAGCAGCCTCCACCACTTCCTCTGGCAGCTCATTCCATACACGCACCATCCTCTGAAAAAAGTTGCCCCTTAGGTCCCTTTTAAATCTGTCCCCTGTCGAACTGCTATGATCCACCTTCAATGAACTATGAACCTCCACCCCAAGATCTCTTTGCTTGGCAACATTCCCCAGGATCCTACCATTAAGTGTGTAAGTCCTGCCCTGGTTTACCTTTCCAAAATGCAGCACCTCACATTTATCTAAATTAAGCTCCATCTGCCACTCCACGCCCCATTGGCCCATGTGACCAAGATCCTGTTGTACTCTGAGATAACCTTCTTCGCTGTCCACTACACCACCAATTTTGGTGCCGTCTCCAAACCTACTAACCATATTCACGTCCAAATCATTTGTATAAATGACAAAAAGCAGTCCTGACAAAGTAACAATATTGAAAATCACCAAACAACGCCTCTCATTGATACATCACTGGTGGAATAAAGGTGAAATGGGTGTCAGAGATACCTGTAATTCTGTCATCAGCAACTTTTACGTTCCTGGTCTCAACATCTCCAATTCAGAGGGATACTGATGTGTCATTTATCACCATTCTGCAATCTGCAGAACGTGTGACAGGTCACTTTTCCCTCTGACCTGGTCTGGTAACTAATGGTTCTTATGTGGTTGGTTCTGTTCAGTTTCTGATCAATGGTAATTCCAAGATGTTGATAATGGGGGCTTTCAGCAATGTCAAAAGTGATGGTTTCACTCTCTTTTGTTGGAGATGGTCATTGTCGGCCTGGCACCTGTGTGGCATGAATGTTACTTGCCATGTATCAGCCCAAGCCTGGATTTTATCCAAGATTTACCGTGTAACGTCATGGAATGCTTCAGTACCTGCAGAGTTGTGAATGCTGCTGAACATTACACAGTCATAACACCGTCACTTCTGACCTTATGATGGAGGGATTGTGTCACAAACCATTGCAATGCAATGGAAGTAGTTTGCATCACAAAAGCCATATGAACTAGTTTTTCCATTTCATAAAACCATTGTTAATAATACCTTATTTGTGTAACAGAAAAACACAGAAATTTTGTATTTTCTATGTATTAATAAGTTGCCAGGCACTGCCAAAAAAATTCTGAAAAAAAAACAACTTACATTTATATAGTGCTTTCAATGAAGTAAAACACCCCACAGTGGTTTGCAAGACAATATCAGGTAAATATTCCATTTAGCCAAAGAAAGACATATCAATTTTGGCAGCAACTGTGCAGAGAGTTGCTGGAAAGACATTTCAATGGTTCCTCATGGACTGGGGTTAAATTATCTCTATCTGACATTCCGTATTGATCAATAAAAAGTTCTGTCAATTGATTATTGGGAAGTCTAAAACCATTGTTTTTGGTCTCTGCTCCAAACTCCGTTCCCAAACTCCTTACTCCAGCCATTTCCCTCACAATGATCTGAGACTAAACTCCAGACTATTTGCAATCTCATTATCATATTTTACCCCTAGTTGAATTTCTGACATCATATTCATGTAATCATTAATATCATCAATTTCCAACTCCGTAATATTGCTGCAGTTTACACTTCGTCAGCTTATCCACTGCTGAAACCCTCAGTCATCTTTGTGTTTTCTGTAGACTTGACTAAATCAATGCACTCCTTCTTGCTTTCCTACATTCTACCCTCCATAAATATGAGATCATCCATAACTCTGCTAGTCATGTCCTAACTCACGTTAGCCTATTCCCTCCACCCCCCACTCTGTGCTCACTGACCTACATTGACTCTCAGTCAAACATCTTGTTCAAATCTCTCTTCATGACTTTGCCTCTCCCTATCTCTGTCATCTGCTGCAGCCCCACAACTTTCAAAGGTTTCTGCATTTGTCTAATTCTGGCCTCTTGAGCAGCCAGATCACAGCCATTTACTATTAGTGGTTGTTCTTTCAGTTGCCTCAGTTCTAAGAACTAGAATTCTTTCTTGACACACTTCCACCTCTTTACCTCACTTTCCTTTATCAAGATGCTTGTTAGTACCTGTGTCTTTGATTGAGCTTTTGGTCATTTGACCTCATACCTTCTTTAGTGGTTAAGTGTCATATTTTGTTCTATAATGTTCCAATAAAGTGCCTTGGTATTCTTAATTACATTAAAGTGTTATCTAAATATAAGTTGTTGTTCTGATTGTGTTCCGAGTGCCAATTTGCCCTTTCAGTGATTTTGTGATGAATGGCAATACATCAGGGAATGTTCTTTGGGTGCACCCCTGATTAAAGAACTGTTTCACAGAAAGTGGTTGTGAAATGGAGAGGGCACTGGTCAGAGTGTGTTAGAAGTTTACATTGTTTTAAACTTTCCAGTGTTGGTAAATGGAACAGCTGGAGAATGCATCCTTATTCCATTGTATAACGTCCAATTGGAGTGTGACTTGTTGTCTGGTCTGGCAGTAGTCAGAGTAGTTAGGAAATGAGCAGTGATTTACTCCTGGGGATGATCTGGCAGGAGTGAAAGTAGTAGCCTCACCTATAATCACAGCCTAGGTGAAGTTGAAGAAATGGAACAATTGCAAGAATGGGTTCTGGGTACTTTTCCATCATGAGAGAGCTAGGGCTTTTCTCTTTAGAATGACGAAGGATGAGAGGTGTACAAAATGATCAGAGGTATAGGTAGAGTAGACAGCCAAAGACTTTTTCTTAGGGTGGAGGTAGCTATTACGAAGGGGCATAGTTTTAAAGTGAGTGGAGGTAGATATAGGGGAGACGTCAGAGGTAGGTTCTTTACTCAGAGAATGGTAGGGGCGTGGAATGCATTGCCGGAGAGGGTAGTGGAGTCGGCCTCATTAGGGGCATTTAAGCGGCTATTAGATAGGCATATGGATGATAGTATAAGGTAGGGGTGGAAGTTAGATAGACCTTAGGTTTAGGGTAAAAGTTCAGCACATCGTGGGCCAAAGGGCCTGTACTGTGCTGTACCGCACTATGTTCTATGTGTAGTGACCAGAATGGCTAAACAAAGTTCATCACCAGACATTACGTTAATACCACTAGTAGATGCACACATTGTCTCTCTCTCCCTCTCTCTGTATCTCCCTCACACACACAGACAGACAGACAGATACACACACACACACACACACACACACACACACACACACACACACACACA